AGAGATATTTGAAGTTTTATAAAATGAATAAATTATATGATTTGCCTAGTTACCAAAACCCCTCGAAAATCACAACAAACCAACCAACCTACCAAAGCCTTATTTTAAGAAATGAAACTACCAATTTTGGTCCAATTGGGCCGAAACGGCAACACTGTATTCAACATGCCTTGACGGGAGAGCAACACGTAACAGTTTCATTTCATTTGAATAAAGTTTCATTTAATTTGAAAAAAGTTGAATTTAATTTGAATAAAGTTTCATTGAATCTGAAAAAGGTCTCATTTAATTTGAATAAAGTTTCACTGAATCTGAAAAAGGTTTCATTTAATTTGAAAAAGGTTTCGGTTAAAATTAAAAAAGTTTCATTTTATTTGAAAAAGGTTTCGCTTAATTTGAAAATGGTTTCATTTAAACTGAAAATGCTATATATATATGCTCCGTTTCTTTTTTTATCTTTTTTCCATTCACATTAAGAATATATTACAAAATAATATCGTAACTTCTTAAATTTTTGATCAATAACTTCTGTGGCAACCACCAAGGTTTTGTATAGCAAGGTGTAACAGAAGTCTTTAACATTCCTTGCGGAATCACTTTTTATTTATCAAAGCAGGAACCAGAAAAATGTGTTGCATGTTTAGAGAGTATATGCTGACGTTAGCTATTCAACCGCACAGTAGTGCTGCTGCCGAAAAAAAATTTTCAGAGATATCTCATTAAAAATAAATACAGGAACAGGCTTAATAGTCTAAGATCATTCACCCATCTGTTTAAAAAAATCTTTTTTCTGTGAAATTTAACGTGTTAATAAATATTTTGCGAGTGGGTTGCCTGAAAAAATCCTGGCCAGGATGTTTTTAATTATATATTCAAAAATTATTATTATTTTTTAATTTTGTACTCATTTGCTTAATGAAAAAATTATATACCAATCGAAAGTATTAAGCTTATAGAATGTAAACACGTTGGGTTGTATAGTTTTTTCCTGGCCTACCTATTGCGTTGGTAGGTATGAACAGGTAGGTAGGTAATATTAGTAATTTTCACTCATCTGTTTAACAGATTCTATAGACTTTATGTTTTCGATTGGTATAAACAAATGCTGCCTTTGTTTACCATTTCAAACAAATTGACCACGAATAAATATTAAAGCTTTTTATTTGTTACTTTAATGAAATATAAATTTCTAAACAGACAAAGGATTTGAATGTTCAACAACGATTGAAATAACATCGAATCACTTTTTACACCTCCAAAACTCTCAGCCGTCCAATTGCGGCCTATCGTCCAGCGTCACTTGATATTCTCCACTCTCCCTATTTAAATTAGCTTTCTGGTATTCCAAAAGAACCAATGTATTTCCTCCGATTCGCAGTAAATCCTTAGGCAGATATAGCGTCAACTGAGGGCCGACTAATGGCCAATAGCGTCCCAAATTAAAACCGTTGATATAAGCCACGCCTTTGCCCCAACCAAGGGGGTTTAAATAAGTGTCGCCCAGTTTTTCCACTTCGAATTCGCCGTAATATACCACGGGTCCATTACGTAGAACATTGCTCTTTGACGCTAATTCGGTTATCATTTGGTGCTTGTATGCATTTACTAATGTTGTAATTTGTTCACTCTCCAATGGGAAAGATGTTGTCACCCAATCTTTGAGCTCCTGCTTTTCGCCATTCAAATGCTCCACTGTTATCGCGCCCAAAATACCTTTTGTATCATTTAGCGTCTCATAATTGATGCGTCCTTGATTCTCTACCAATAACTGCAAGCGACTGCCTAAACCGTATTGTAATAGTAATATTATGATGTCTTAGGTCTAAGCCAATTGTTATTGGCCACGAAAGATTAATTTAAAATGAATCTTTAGCCCGTGAAATTGAATCAAAGTGTATGGATTTTGAAAATGAAACTTTGGCTTGTAATATCTATGGAATGCGTTAATTGTTATAAACAGGACGATATATTAAATTAAGGGTTATTAAATTTAGTACCTTATGTTCATTTATCATTTTTCAATAAGTCTACAAGTTTTGAAGACATTAAGATAAAACTTACAAAAACTATAATTTTCCCTTATGAATTTTCAATTTTTCATTATTTCAGCAACCAAGTGAAATATACAAACAAGTGAGACGAGATTTACTTATTTCAAACGGTATAATGTTATCGGATGTTGGTCAGTTTTTAAGATCGTGGTAAATGAAGTCAAACATGTATTGACAAAGATTAGGAATCGTTTGATAAGTTAATAGTAGTTTCAAGCATATAAGTATTTACATATATTAACATAATACAATTAGGGTAGGAAATGCCAATTTTAGGTCCATTTATGCAGTCTTGAAAATTGGTGCCGAATGGTTTCATTAGTCCCCGAAGAAGCACATTTTTCGCGGTTTCTAAAATTTGTCGTTACATGAAAGTAGGCGACGCGCAATAAGTGTTTAGATATGCATAAATATTTTAGTTAATTCCATTATGAGAAAAAGTGACTGTAGGTAAATGCAATAGTCTTTAACATATCCTGGGAAATCCTTTTGAGAACTCTCCAATTGGACGATATTGCTTTGCCTTCAGCTTGCACGAAAAAAAAACACACTGGCACACTTTTCTGTAATCGCGTTCTTTTATTTAAAGGTTATTTATACAATTGAAGAGAAATTTGTTTAGAAAAAGACTGGAGATCCGCTTAAGTTTTTCGATATAACTTTCGTACCGCTCGATCGGTACGTAATAATTACCAAATTGAAGACGAGATTTACTGTTACTGATTTATAATAATAATATGATGAAAATCGCTGAGATTATAAACAAATTATTTTGAATAAATTTTTTTTTGTTATTGTCCTATATTTGCAATTTTTATATTGTATGTATAAACATAGGTAAACTAATTAGTTTTTCTAGAAGTTCTGCCTGTTCAGTGTTTCCATACTCATTTGCATAAACAAAATTTTTCCACGATAATGGAAAATAATGGCTTTTCTATTAGAACTACCTAAATTGTTCCTAAATTTACAAAAATTCGCAAACTATAGCTAGTATTAAAAAAAGATTAGAATATTTGGAACCAGCGACCTATCTGCACGCCAGCAATATTAATGCTGTTCTTATCAAGAAAACAATTAAAATTTTATTGAAAAAAGATAACTTTGAGATTAACCCTCTAGTAGGCTGAACCGCCTCCAGACGGTCGTTAACTAAACACCTTTTTAGTGCACCTATAATAATTTTTTTCTATATTCGTAAGGCACGATCTTTAGACAAAAATCGTACCCTTACGGCGAAGTAAATTTGAATCCGTTAAATCAATCCGTTTTATTTTAATCGGCAGTTGAATTACAGATTGTGAAAGACACGGTTAAAATTAATTATTTCTTGCTATTTAGTAATTTCGTAATTAAAGGAATTTTTTTTTTTTTGAAAAATTTTTTGATATAAAGAAATTTGGTGGATTTTGTAGTTAAAAGCACCGTATTTTGATATAAGTTTTATAATTATGTTACCATTCGAAATGGAGAAATTGCTTTCGAACACAGACCGTCTACAGACCGGCTTGCCGACATATAAAAACCCAGTTTGCATTTTTGACCGTCTGCAGGCGGGATTGCCGGTTCGTAGGTCAACATTGTGTAAGATAAAGCTGAAAATACGTCAAAGTATATCGGCGAGCCCGTCTCCCGACGGTCTTGGTTTTTCTCCTCTGTAGGAAAAAGTTACTGTCACAGATCGAAATGGACATCATTTTTGGATTTCTCGTGCTAAAATCACCCATTCCTGAATTTTTCAACTCATAAAAAAATTGGCCTACTAGAGGGTTAACGATAAGCCAAAGGGCTGCGAAAAATGATACATATTTGACTTTATCTTTTGCGTTAACGTATTCGTTATCTGGTAATATGCACCGAACCTTTTTGCTGAACCAAACATTTTTTAATAAGAATTGGTCTTATTCGACTAGTGTGCTGTGGGTCACTTGGCGGTCGATGCGCGGGCTCTTACAATTAAAGTAAAAGACTAATATTTTGCAGACTTGTTGTTGACTTCATGATATAATATATTTTCACTATTACCAAGGGATTTGAGAAAAATTAGATTTTCGACCCGCCCTAGTGTATACTACGTACATAAGTATGTAAGTATAAATATTATAACTACCTGCTTACCTCAATGAATTCGCGACCTCATTGGCATTTCGGCGTTGGTTTTCCTCTTCCCAGTGGGTTAACCAACCGGGATAGAACTCTGAGTTTACTAATGGTCCGGTAGGTTGGACACTACGCATTGCTTTCCATTGGTCATCAAAGTTTGAACCTGCGGAGAATTATAACAAAATGAATTGCCGAATATTAAATATTTCCCGTTATGCATACGCACCTATTCCGAAGTCGATGGTCGCGTATACTCCTTCAATCTTTCCACACTTTAAACCGTCATTGGGTTGGTCAGTTGTGAAGAGCACAGCTTTGCCTTTGACATATTTCTCCGTCTGATCTCTCAGCCAAATCAAATGTTTGGTATCGCAAGCATAAAAGGCGCCGTATTCATTTTCTACCTGCACCGTTATGATCGGGCCACCATTGCCATAGAAGAACTTTTGCATCCGAGGCATAAGTTGGGCATACCATTTGCTTACCTCTAACTGGTAGTTAGGGTCACTGGTACGCATCTTTATTCCAGGGTACTTTGTAAAAAGCCAGTGCGGTAAGCCGCCCTGTTGGATATAAGCGGTTTGAGAAAATATTTGCTTAGTATTACTTCAATGTAATTTTACATTATCACGTTCCGCGCAGATATAAGGTCCTGGTCGTAGAATGACATAGAAACCAGCGTTCTGTGCTAACTCTAAAAAGCGCTCGATATCTGCAATGCCTTCCCAATTGTAGACTCCGTCACGGGGATTATGCAGTGACCATTCAATATAGCTTAATCAGGAAAAATGGATAAAAAAAACTTTGTTTATTTGTGTAAGATGTGCGTAATATTTTTTACTTTAAGACTTCTGATATAAAAAGGTTTAGTTTGCTCCCTGTATAAAATTTAGCTCTGAAATGCTAAGCATGCAATTTATGATTCAATAGTTGCGTTCCTTAAATCCCAGTAATAGTCAGAAGTAGGCAGATTTATTCCGAAAAGCGCTTTTTAAATTGAAAATGACAACAGGAATGAGAGAGCAACTGTAACTCTCTTCAGTCAGAGGTTACAAGCTTTAGCCAGAAGAATTTTTGCTGGCAAAATCTTGAAAATGTCAAACTCAACTCAACTGAATTTAAAATAACGAAAATTAAAAAATAAACAAAAAGTGAGAATAATCTAAAAACTAAAAAAAGTGAATTGAAAATGGAAGGAGTCAAAAAATAATTGATGCAGTCATGGCCAATTTCAAATGAATATTTAAACGGCACTTAAGTTTAATTTTGGATTGTTATTTAAATGCCATTTAACTTTCGTTGTGTTTCAGATCAACTTTATCCAAATATGCCAAACAAGTGGCAACACTGTTGCTTGCTCCTTGAAATTGTTGTTGCATTTGTTTGTTTGTTTGTTTACATTTTGTACTGAACAGGTGATTGTTCTTTGGCAAGACTGATAAAACAACCTATCTATCAATCTTGGTCATTTGGTACAAACACAGGTTTGCATATCTCATATTTAAGTAGCCAATATCGGTCATTTAAGTGCAGATTAAATGTATGATCTGAAAATGAATTTTTGAAGTTAATCAACAATCTCTACTTAAATATACGATCTGAAATTGGACCTAAGTGTTTATTGTGCTTGTGTGAATGTCTCTTGTACATACATTTCTATTTTTATTTGACATTAGTATTGTTGTGGAAATTCTTTTGACAAAAAATTTTTTTTTGCGTTCCTTTACTTTTCCTGTCATTCTCTTTTATGCTTTTGCATTTTAACACTTTTCAGGTTTTAGTCAGAAAAGTTAAGGTATGGACCTATTAATAGACATATTGATTTAATAATTGAATCATAATACTGATGAGTTTCATGGTGAAATTATAACAGGTGAAGTAATAAAACTGCTTTGTCGCTTTATTTTTTTTATTCTCTCGACATTCGGCTATCTTCTGGAAATTTCTAAAGGCAAATTTTTAAATAAGATAGTTTCATATCTTTTTCTCGCTCATATTACTTCACCTGGTAAAATTTCACCATGGATGAGTTTGAGCTTTTGACATCTTACTCGAAGTAAAAGTGCGAAAAAATTAAAGAAGGCGTATGGGGCTCAATATTTTTGCAAGAGAATGCTTTCAAGTGGTTCCCCCATCTTGGATGTACTAAATAAGGCTGTGGTCCATCGGTTAATTCCACACGGTTCATTGGTTTCGGGGAAGAACATTGAGCCGAATTTTACATTTACAGTACTAAGCAGAGTGCAAAGGTCAGCTGCGTTTCGAATACTGGGAATATTATATTATGTCCAACGTAAGTCAACAATATCTCTTTTTGTAAACGGCGTCATGTTGGATTCAAACGGATTTTTATAAAATAGCCTGCAGCGGTTACCAAGATATACACATTTAACCATAAGTGGGCGCGGCTACGCCCATTTTCCAAAAATTTATAATATTCTTATTTTTCGTCTAAAACTTATTGTAAATATCAATTTTTAGTGAATAATCTTCAGCAGTTACTAAAATATCGCAGTTTTCGTATTTTTGAAAATTACCGTTGTATGGGAGGTAAGCGTGGTTATTGTCCGATTTTGCCAATAGCCAATATCGGTCATTTAAGTGCAGATTAAATGTATGATCTGAAAATGAATTTTTGAATTTAATCAACAATCTATACATAAATATACCATCTGAAATTGGACCTAAGTGTTTATTGTGCTTGTGTGAATGTCTCTTGTACATATGTTGTGTGGGAGGCAGGCGTGGTTATTGTCCGATTTTGCCCATTTTCAATACCATCCGTCCTACGCCCACAAGAAGTGCACGTACCAAGTTTCGTTAAGATCTCTCAATTTTTACTCGAGTTATCGTGTGCACAGACTGACGGACAGACAGTCACCGCTTAATCGATTTCTCTTTTCATTCTGATCATTTATGTATACAAGTGCGCTCGGGTATTAAAATAATAATTTTCGGGACTCGAATCTTCGACCTGCTACTGCTACTGTACTCCTATCGTCGACGCTGTCTAAATCGAAGATTTCGTATTTCTCTAAATTACCGTTATGTGGGATGTGGGCGTGGTTATTGTCCGATTTTAAAAATTTTCGGCCATTTGATATGCTGTACCAGGGCCAACAACTGTGCCAAGTTTGGAAGAAATTGGTGCAGCGGTTACCAAGATATACACATGTAACCATAAGTGGGCGTGGCTACGCCCATTTTCCAAAATTTTTTAATATTCTTATTTTTCTTCTAAAACTTATTGCAAATATCAATTTTGAGTGAATTATCTTCAGTAGTTACTAAAATATCGCAGTTTTCGTATTTCTGGAAATTACCGTTATATGGGAAGTGGGCGTGGTTAAAGTCCGATTTCGCCCATTTTCAATACCAACCTACCTTGGATTAAGGGAAACCTACATACCAAATTTCGTTGAGATATCTCAATTTTTGCTCGAGTTATCGTGTACACGGACGGACGGACAGACGGACAGACGGACGGACAGACAGACATGGCTTAATCGATTTCTTTTTTCATTCTGATCATTTATGTATACATTTGTCTATATCTATCTCGATTCGTTTTGCCTGTTACAAACAACCGTTATGTGAACAAAGTTATAATACCCTTGTGCACAAGTGCGCTCGGGTATAAAAAATGTTTTCCAGCAATGAATCGCAATTGCTAAATAAGGGACCACTTTTCTTGAATCGACAATTGTTAGCAAATGAATTACAATATTTGGAGCAAACATTTCCCGATTTTCGAGCTCAATGAAGTAAGTTGGGTTGGCACATATTTTTAAATTAAATACAAACGATTCTGTTTGTATGTATGTATACATAGATTTGTTCACTTGATTTAAAATGAATCGATTTGATTCCTTATATTTAAAAAGTTTCAGTATTCGAACAATAGACACAAGACCATTATTCGAATAATCGGAAGCGTGCGTTGAAATACCGTAAACCGGTTAATAACCGGTCGAACGAACATTCTCTGAATAATTTTAAGAGTCCTAGTTGCCACATTTAAGAGATTAAATTTTTTTTATGGGCATTATATTAGTAATGTGTTCATTAAAAAGTTTGACAAATTGTTACATACAAAGGGTTCCTAGGTTATAGCTCATTTTAAATATCAGGGACAAGGGAGGTGCCACGGTCTCTAGTCCAAACTCATCTCTATTTATCTTATAATGAGCAGATTTTTTAGTAAGGTGTCCACCATAATTTCATCGTGATGTGACCGTATAAGTGTCCCGATTAATAATATAATTGTACCGATTAAGTCCCGATTTTCAGTGTTTTTTTATTAATTTATTAAGACTCTCCCTGTACTCTGGCCCAAAAACAATTTTTCGTACAAACGGGGCGGCACTTATTAATAATATATAGCCAGCATCCTTACTAATAATATATAAATATAATTAAAGAAATTATAAAAAATAATACCAAATAATACCCGAAAAAGAATCGTGGATATGAAAAACATATGCTGTAGATAGAGTGGCGAAAATATAAATAGGGAAGAGACATTTTAGCTTTCTTTGGCTATTCCCCTTTTGATTATTTAACGTTTATTTCTTTTTATGAAAGTGTGGCTCGTTATCTAACAGAGATCATGTAAGTCAGAATTTGAAACTTTGTAGAAAAATTAGTAAAATTCGACAAAGTTTCATCAAAATTTTGAGCTTTTTAATTATATTTCTTAGAAACATTCTGAGTATGCAGTTTTGTAACCTATTAAATTCAAACTGCAAATTTTAAGTAGCTAGAACTTACCCTTGATACTAGGTAAATTTTGTGGAAGGTGTTGCTCATTTTCTCCAAACAAAATTTTTTTTAACATACTGTGTATGTTAATGGTAAGTAGTGATGTGCTGAGTCGGTACTTTTAAGTATTGATCGATACTCGGTACCGATTTGGAGAGTATCTAATACTTTCGATACTCGGTACCGACATATTGGAACTTATAATAAGACCCACCAATATGGAATAAAAGCTGTTATGTGATCGTTGAAGTTTTTATGAATCTCATTAATCTATGGTTAAAGAAGTCTATTTCTCCACATTGTTTGGGTCTGAACGCTCTCGTCGCTCGATTAATATCTGCCCGTTTTTTTGCCAGTAAGGGTTCGCTTAGAACGGTCGTCGTAACAATAATATGTAATAACATTTTAGCGTTTACACTTTTGCTAAGTATTTGGCTGTCTTTCACTTCTAATTTGTGGTATGTGTCTTAATGTTATATCTCAAATTAGACAGAAATACATTCAACTGTTGCTCAGACCAGGGATCGCACCCGGGTCCTAAGGAGTGGTAGTACGCGCCTCTAACTACTCAGCCACAGCGGCAACCACAATGCAAATCGTAATAAATATTCTTTGAAAAGAGAGTTGCCATAAGTATTACGAATTAACAATGTTGCCACAAGAACTGTTGCAGTTGGTAAGACTGTTGCGATAAGTACAAGAAGGCTCAAATACTAGCATACATATTGCTTATTTGCAGGTGTTTTTTTTTTTGCTTTGACAATGTGATATAAAATACCAATGACATTTTTTTCTGCAAACTTCAAAAGTATGTATATTATGACGAAGGTTCAATGTATCGAATCGGTATCGGTTACCGAAAGGAAAGTATTGGGTACCGACATTTTTTCAAGTATTGGGTACCGAGTATTGGGTATCGACAATTCAGCACATCACTAATGGTAAGTCCAAGCTTCTTCCAACTTGCACTTTATTATACTAAAATTAAATGGGCTTCAAAACATAGCATACTC